AAATAAATAAAAATTTAAAAATAAATAAATAAATAAATTTTAAACGGGCCTTTAAGGTCCAAGATAATTGTGGTAAAATATGCGTAAAAAAATTTATCATCCTAACCATGTTGTATACAATTTAGTATTATTAAATGCATTCAGATTATTGTCAGACCAATCTCCAGAAAGCAGTTTTAACTTTGAAAAGCAGATGACCCAAATTGATTTGAGTAAAAGGTGAAGAAAGAAAAAAGAAACTAAGAAATGAGTTCATTCTTTGATATGAGAAGTTAGAAGACTTAAGTCTACAGAACTAAGCAACCAGATTATCAAAATGAAATAACACCACTATAACAGCATAACATTCTTTAATTAAAAATGCAACAGCTCATACCTCAAAACTATAAATTCCATGTGGATTAAAGATGTAAATGAAGGCTGGGGAAATAGCTCAGCAGTCTGAACTCCCGCCTTGCAAGCACAAGGACCTGAGTTTGCTTCTTGGTAGTACAGTGCTAATACATACATACATGCTTTTTTTTTTTTTTTTTGGCAGAACTGGGGTTTGAACTCAGGCCCTTGCGCTTGCCAGGGAAGCACTTATTCCAGTGAGCCATCTCCCCAGCCCCTACATGCATTTTTTAAAAAACTTTTTTAAATGTATTTAGTACAGGGTCTACAGGGTCTCACTATACAGATCACTATGCAGACTTGTAGTGATCCTTCCTGTTTTTCAGCCCCTCAAGTGCTGGGATTACAGGCACATACCACCACATTCAGTCTCAGTCACCATCTCAGCGCACTCCGGGGGTGGGGCCAGCACAGCAGGCCAGGGATTGAACCTGCAGTCCCTCAGTGCCTAAGCAGACACTTTAATCTGCTGAGCTATCTGGCTGGCCCTAAAAAATTATTTAAAAAAAAAAAAAAGTGTATAACTGGGGAGATAGCTTGGCAATCTAAGCGCCTGCCTGGCAAGCGCAAGAATCTTGTCCAATCCTCCAGACTGCATGCTGCTCCAGCCTCATGCAGTACAGTCCACTGAAACCAGGCATGGTGGTGCATGCCTGTAATCCCAGTGCTAGGGAGGCTGGAAACAGGAGGATCACTATGAGTCCTAGCTGCATAGTAAGACCCTGTACCAAATAGATAAATCTGTAAAAAGAAATTATGTAAATGAAAATTTTTTCAAATACATAGCTGATACATGTTTCATAGTGAAAAAAATCCCAAAGGTAGAAATTAACAGTCTTGCATATTTCATTGTATGTAATTTTTTATTATTAACTTTTACAAAGTAACCACAACAAGGGCCGGCCAGATAGCTCAGTGGATTAAAGCACCTGCTTAGGCAGATGCAGGGACTGGATCCCTGGAGTGCTGACCCAACCCCCCAGGCACTTCCTGAGACAGCAACTGAGACTGGCCATGGTGGTGAGTGCCCTGTAATCCCAGTGCTTGGGAGGCTGAAAACAGGAGATCACTATGAGTCTGACCTGAAACCCTGTAGACCCTGTACTAAATACATTTGAAAAGAAAAATAACCACATTTAGTAGCTTTACAGCAGTGAGTGATTTTTTTCTCAATGTTCATCTCTCCTTTTTTCTATTTACAATGGATATATTTTACCTGCCTAATCAGCAGATGTATGTATGTCTACAAATTCTAATCTCTGTAGTTGTGGAATTCCAGTAATACGTTGCCATTTAATTACAACGTGCACCTTGCCAAGACTAGGTTTATCAAGGGTGGTAGTATAAGCTGCACGAAATTCTAGTCTACGGTAGTGTCCTCGGGTTCTCAGAATGACCGCGTCCCGCGGCTTTGTAGCATACCTCTAGAAAGGAGCAGCGTGCCACTGGCTCTTATGGCCTGCCGACCCTTGAGCCTTGCAGGATTGGCTTTTTTGACCCCCTTGCAGCCTCTCCAACTGTTTGGTCTCATTAACTGTATACACCGTTAACCACTGCCCGATTGAAAACTTTTGCTTTTTCGTCAAAGCACTTCATATACCTAATTTTCTACATCTTCATCCACAGAGCTTCAAGATAGAATTTGCTTTAAATTGTGAGTTTGTACCTGTTGAATTTCATGAAATCCGGCAAGTGAAAGCCAGTTTTAAAAAGCTGATAAGGGCTTGTATCCCAAGCACTATCCCTACTGACTCAGAAGTGACCTTCCTGAAGGCCCTGGCAGACTCTGAGTGGTTCCCACAGGTAATGTCTCAGGAAGTTCATCTTCTAACTTTGAAAAGAAGCCAAGTGGAAATACAGAATCAATGCAATATTTGAGAAAAAAAGTTTTTATTCCCCTTTATTCCATATTCCCCCCTTATTGGAAGCCTTCTGTAAAGGCACTTCAATTTTAGAAAGCAGTACTATATAGGAGATCAGGGGGTAGTATTCTTGATGACTGGGTTTTTATTTCTATATAATTGAGTCTGGTGTCTAAAGACTAATGAGGAGATAATTATTTTGTGTGGAAAATTTTATATACAGGAATTTCAATCACTGTGTATTTACAGAGCTCCAGCTCTGTTATCAAGACAGGGTCCAGGGTAGAAGGAAGACAGCTTCTTGCATGACTCTCAGAGCTTCTCCCTCCCTCTTTCTCACCTTCCATTTATCTCCTCATGTTCCATGTTTCTAGATTGTAGGTTTACCCTCACACCAATAATAAAAACCACTTTTGGATGCCTCAAACCTGCCTAAGGTTTGGTGAGAATTGTATATCATTCAGCTTGGTCAACCTTAAGATACTTTTAATTGAGCTTCTATTGAGAAGTTAAGAGGAAATGGGTGTGCCAGCATGCATTTCTTCCAAACCACAGAAAGGTATTTATGACCTGCATACTTTAGACACTGATGCAGACTTTTGGCCAATAGCATCTCTGCAGTAGAGCCTTCAGCTTTGCTTTCAGTCCCTGGTGTTATGTCCATTATTCCTTCTTAGTCACAAGAATTTCCAGTTTTTTAGTTCTTTGCATCCATCTCTCCCCTCCAACTTCCCAGCCTCTGAGAAGGAAAAAGGATTGTTTCTTCATAGCATGTAGGACTAAAAGGCACAGAAGCCAAAAAATAATGTCAGTACACAGGACAGTGACTGCCCTAAAGGTACATAAAGTGTAAAGAAACACAGCTACATATGCAGTTGCTTATAACTTATCAGGATACGTACATTACTCGTAAGGCAGTTTAGGATATGAGTAACCATGGAATGAGCTGGCATTACTACCCCTGTCCCTAGATTATGAGCCCCAGGCCCATACTGGCCCTACCACCCAATAGTTATCTCTCTTGTTTCTGATATATTCTATCCCCTGCTCCTTCCTTGTGGGACAAGTGAATCTCTACCAGCAGTTAGAGACGGTGGAAAATATCCACTTGGGAACTTTAAAAGTTAACAGAGTCAACAATTTCAGACACTACCAGTCAAGTGGAAGACCCAATACTATTATGGACTACTGGACTCTTTTAGAATATTTTGCTGAGTTAACACACCTATGATATTTAAATGACGAAACTAAATAAAAAAGGGGATACAGACGAATGTCCATTTTGTATCTGTGTGTTCAAAATGGGTAGGATAGATATATAGCTACATTCTCTTAATGAATAGAGGGATTTGTTCTAATAGTGTTTGTAAGTATTATATCATGTCTGCATCTTGTACAGCAAATAACCACTAGGAAGAGAGTATGCAATGTGTTGATTATTGAAACAGTCATGCCAATTTGATTTGAAACTGTCTCATTGCTGTATGTCTCACAATAAAGTTATGGGGGGAAGGTTAACAGAATATAGCAAATGCTAAGCCTAAAAAGACTTCAGGCACAGGAATAGCAATTTTATAGAAATAGCCAGAAAGGAGCTTCCACTGCCAGGTAAGGACATGTACCTTCCTCCTATGCTTAAAATAACCTGTTTAAAATATGGTGATTTTTTTTTTAGTTCCAGAGGAGATTGATACTGAACAATCCATTATATGATGCTCAAAATATTTTTAAAAACTAGAATCATACACATTTGGTTTTAAAATGTATATGCTATATTTATACCCTAATTAATTAGTCATTAGGGATTTTGAGTCAACTGGCCTGGATTAAAAACTGAACACAAGTATAAAGACATAGAGACAGGGGCTGGTGAGATGGCTCAGTGGTCTAAAACACCTACTTAGAACAAGCTTAGCAAAGCACAGGGA